CAATGTTTGCACGTTTCTGCGTTGCAGACTTTTCAAACCATAGTACAGTGAAAGTATGAAGACTAGTTTTGCTTCCTATCTGGTGTGTGGCTTTTGTCTATTTTCAGAAGCAGATTCATAAACGGATAACACTACAAAACTTATTTACTTTCTTAATCAAGAGGTTTATAAATAAAGACATATTTAAGAGGTACAGTTTTCCATTTGCTCATATTGAAGCAAATATCCAAAGGACATGTTGTAAAGACTTGAGTGGAAACAAGAAACCTTGAAAGAGCGTAAACAAATTACTGCTTTGAAGAAAGCTGTCATGGGGGAAGATAGTTTGTCGATCGAAGACAACGTGGAATAACTCAACTCAACTGTAAATCTCTTATATACCTCTGGCGTCCAATAAATATCAGGATAATTTGCATATACCTGGCCCACCATACACAAGCACGATATGCAAACATTGCTGTAAACGGCATTGAAATTCATTCTACAAATCTACTTCCTTAAGTCAGCATATAAAATTTTGCATGTGACCGGTCATTTTGGAGCGTCTCTGATTAGGAGTTTTGACCTCGCAAAATGAGTCCAAACGCGAATAAAAATTGATAAAATTCTATTGAAAAGATGCTAACATAAATTGATTAGTCTCAACGTGCATCCAGTTAAGCTCATCGTACTTCTTTCGGTTCCTTGGTTGTTTAGTAATCGTGCTAGTATGGTTGAGATTTTTAAGTGAAAGCTGACAGAACACAATAGACATTTTGCACAAAACAGTTACATTGTGAGCCAAAAAAATAAACCCTGAATTACTACGCAAAGTTTTGGTCGACAAGGAACGAACAAGCTTTATTATCTGTCAAATAATGCCAAGATGAAAGTCAGTATGTCCGATCTGTCTATCATAAGACATTTGATTCTGTTGTCGCTGTGGTGCGTACATTTTGCGCAATCTGACATGAAGGAACTGCCAATTACAGTTTTCTTCAGATGCTTTCAATGCCCTTCAACTACCTGAAACGTTTATTATTTTTAAAATATTTTTAAAAATATTTTAAAAACTACTTGTGAATCTTATCGATTTATCGTAAAATAACCAGTTGTGTACTAAGCCATAGGATATTTGTCATGATTTTGTTACCCCTTAACATCCTTTATCGACGATTTGGAAATATGTTTCCAGTTTCAGCGTTAAGTATGAATTTCATAGAATATGCACAGCCCGCTTCTCTTTATAACTTCTTGAATTACACTAGTTTAAAAAGATCCTGAGTAGATGATAGGTTTGTGCTGGATAGGAAAAAGAAATACATTCGTGTAATCTATGTAATTTAAATGGTATCCGGTATGTCTATTTTTATAATAATTGACGTGACCGTAACCATGTTTATCTGGGCACCGTTTACTAGTATAAATTAATGTTCAATAGAGCTTTATTTTATGTAGAAATTTAAAAATAAATTTGCTTGTTATTAGCAAATGAAGACAAGAAAACGTTGAAATTTCTATAAAGTGTACGCAGATTAAATGAGTTGACACGCTAGATGAAGTGTAAATATTGAACTGGGATAAGTGGCAATATTTCTCTTTCATCCAAACGGAAAAATAATCGGCCATAAATATTATCAACTATTCACTTGCCGCAACGTATTTTATATTTATATTACTAATTTTGTCTGCATCACCCTCCCCCGCCAATACACACACATACAATTTAAAATGTGCTTTCACATTTGTCACTTACGTAAGAGCCCATAAAATTACAGGTTCTAATGACTTTCTGTTCTTACTAAATTGCTTATTTCAAGTGTTTTAATTACTTACCTTTACGACATAAATAGGTTAGACATTATATACCATAAATTCCTGTTGGTTCATTCTTAGCATAACATTTTAAATTTGTATCCATTAATAAGACGAGAAAAATGTTTGATTTGGTTTTTATTTGCTTCATGCATTATTTCACTAGCCTTTCCTTTGATACATTTCTAAAATACCAGTTCTATTTCTTTTTATTATTTCATTATATATTTTACTACTTTTATTTTCCATGTAGTTCCGGTTTAAACATGTGTTATTAAACAGAGTCGGTTCGCTTTACTTTGCATTGTTGATAAGTTTTCATTTCAATGTGGCTGTAGCAAAACATAGTTCATTCCCTTTACATTGCTCGTTAAGTTTTCATATAGATTATAAGATTCGCGATGATGATGATTCGACTTATAAATCGAATAAGATTTACAAGAAATTTCATTCGAATAAAGTAAAGAAAAATCAGCTTTGGCACACGTTACTGGCATTTTCTCAATATAAGATACATTGACATTAACATTGATAATGCTGTTAAAATACTAGTGAATATTTTATGGACAAATGATGTGCAAAAATGTATAAGAAACCTCACATTGGGACTCCAAATGTGGTACATTAAAGAAAACATGCCTTATACTGTATGGATGACTAATTAAGGTACGTCACTTGGCATGCAAAAGTTAAAAATATTACCTATTAAAGACCGAATCTGTTTGAGAAAAGTCAAATTAATGTATAGGATAGACAATAATAGTGTTCCTGAATATTTACAAATCACTATTCAAGTATAGGATACCCGGAAATACTCCCCACCTGCGATCAATGTCTACCAAACATTACGAAATTCCCAAACCAAATTAGGAATTATTTTTAAAAAGTTTCCAATACTCTGGAACTTTGCTCTGGAATAGTATTCCAGTTAAGATTAGAAATGCCCACTCTATTTCCTTTTTCCAAACTCAGTATATACAGTGGCTTCAGAAATGCAGCAAAAATAAGTAAATTCCTTCGAATGAGGGCCTCGAGGTAGATTAGTTCTTAGCTAATTGAGTTACCCTCTTTAAATAAAGTCATAATGCTGAATAACAACAATGACTAGTCATATTACGTAACTTAGCATGTTTAATTATTAACGCTGAATGACTAACTATAGTGCGTTACTTGGCATGCATTATTATAAATGTTGCATGATCTCGATGACTTCCCCAATGACCTAATGGTATAAGCGTCCGCCTCATATGCTAGAAGTCGCAGGTTTGATCCCATGCCAAATCATACCAAAGACTTATAAAAATGACGATAACAGCTGCCTCGTTAGGCGCTCAGCATTAAGAGGTTAGTGTTAGGACTGGTCGGCCTTGTATCATAATAATGTAACTTGGTGGGACATGATGCTACATGTCTGCGGCATGATGTCCTAATGCTAGAGATGACTATAAACTGCCACACTGTAGAATTCGTAGCGATATGACAATTTTTTTTAAAGCTACGTTAAAAATCCAAATCACGCACACTTACGGGAGGTCGTTGTTTACCTTGTTTACAAAAGAGACATCAGTGTGAAATCGGGAGGATATATTACCGGTGATGAGATGATAAGTTACGTCATCAAGGTCAAGACACCATGTCAGCTGTATCTTTGCATTTGTGTTTTAAATGATCAGATCTGAAGTGTGCTATTTAGGTCGGGTTATTTTCTAGGATGGGAGGTTGACAAAAGAACCTATTGCATCCATTATATCAGTTGAAAAACATACATTAATTTGAGGTTAAAAACAAAATAAATTATTCTGCCTGAAAAGAAAATTGCTCCACCTCACCCCCGCCCGAGAATTAAATAGTCGTTCCTTTACCGAGCAGTAATCACTTGTATTTAATAGAGGCAGGGGAAACAACTCGTACGAATATCGTACAGGCTATAATGTACAGTAATTATTGCATCAGAAAGGTGAATATCGGTTGTAATTTTCCAATATGGTATAAGAAATGTCTAAGTTCAACAGCAGAGTGGCGCAGTGGAAGCGTGCTGGGCCCATAACCCAGAGGTCCGTGGATCGAAACCACGCTCTGCTAAACCATTTTATTATTTTATGTTTTGTAATTTATTAAATTAAACAATAATTTATCATCCAACAGTAAAATGTGAAGATCATGCAAATCTGTGTCGTACATATAGCAACAAAAACGTATACAGCCATATTGCCATTACACTTGCACTAATGTATAAAAACTGAGTCACTGTAACTTATATTTCTCGCTTCAAAGACAGTAGTTGTACATACATACTCTACACGATTTTAACAATAATAAAACAAACGTAGATGCAGCTAAAGTGATAGTATACAAGTTTCTACGTTCCTATAATAGGCCATTGTATAATTTATTTCATCCTTAAGTCATATACATTATTAAGATTACATATGGAACTTGTTTCATGCAGACTGTTGGATCTCTGCAGTAAGTATAAAGACAACGCATATACGAAAAAGAGTATTTGTCAAGGAGATGATAGGAGCAAAGGTTCCAAAGAAATGGCAATAAACCCTTTGATTGACAAAGCGATCTGGGAGGAAAAGCCCAACATCCACAACATTATTCCCCTCGCTAGAAAAATATATAAATGAGAGGGAAACAAACGGAACGTTTCACGTTTTCTTTACAGATAATGTATAAAAAAAATATGCTCTGGAAAGTTTTTAAATGCATAATTATCTGGGGGCTTTTCTCGCTAGGTCCCCAACAAGAGCTCCATTCTAATGACCCCTTGCCTGCCTTATTTCGTTCCACTTAAACGATATTTCTAAAACACCATTTGCGATAACATTAAATGGTAACGAAACCTGTTTACGTCTGACATATCTCCACAATATTCAACACATAAACATTTTAGTATTGCGATTTGAGCAAATATTGCAGATGCACATATGGCAGATTATGGAGTACATATGTTTTAGAGAACAACAATATGTAAAGAAACGAGAGAGAGAGAGAGAGAGAGAGAGAGAGAGAGAGAGAGAGAGAGAGAGAGAGAGAGAGAGAGAGAGAGAGAGAGAGAGAGAGAGAGAGAGAGAGAGAGAGAGAGAGAGAGAGAGAGAGAGAGAGAGAGAGAGAGAGAGATTTTATTCATCTGCTGCAAATATCCCTTTCAATGTTCGCTTCCAGCCATTACTAAAATGGCATATAATATAGATAAAATTTAAAACGGCAAAAAGGGGACTAAACTCCACGCCGGAAAACCCCAAGGGATTAGCAGTCAATCGCCTTAACCACTCGGCCACCGTTTCCAACGTTTGATAACTTATACAATATTTATACATCTAGTGATATATTGTTACCCAATATAAATATGAAACGGTCATTGATAATTTGATAATATCAATCAATGGAATTTACTGCTGATAATTTTACACCGTGTATCTACCTAAAAAAAAAGACGAACGTAAAGGCCTAATTGTTGTTGTCGTGGGGCTTAACGCCATTTTTCAGCACACGATAGGCTATATATTGGGGCCAGTTTTAATGGTGGAGGAAGAAACCGGGAAATCCGCGGAATGAACCACCGACCCACGAGAAGCTACTGACAAACTATCTCACATATTTACATTCGACGAATCTTAGACTGGAACTCAAGCAGACAGAGGTGAGATGGCAGTGATCCGTAACGGAGAGCCCTTTAGATCACTTGGCCACTCAGGGTCCCCAAAGGCATAATTGTTCAGCATACCAATGTAAACAACAGACTCAAGAATCGAGAGAGAGAGAGAGAGAGAGAGAGAGAGAGAGAGAGAGAGAGAGAGAGAGAGAGAGAGAGAGAGAGAGAGAGAGAGAGAGAGAGAGAGAGAGAGAGAGAGAGAGAGAGAGAGAGAGAGAGAGAGAGAGAGAGAGAGAGAGAGAGAGAGAGAGAGAGAGAGAGAGAGAGAGAGAGAGAGAGAGAGAGAGAGAGAGAGAGAGAGAGAGAGAGAGAGAGAGAGGAGTGTGTGTTTTGGACGTGGAGATAAGTAAAACCACAAGGGATAAGACAGCAAACACTTGCAATTACTCACGATTGTATCCTTACCTCAGCCGTTTCAAGACCTTTAAGATTTGTGTAAATTATTTTGTTTCACTGGAGTGAAAATTTGGTCATGATGTCCTTCTTTGGGACCGACTATTTAATCAATGAGCTGTGGCTGTAGATGCAAATTTAATCTCAATTATGTTAGAAAAAAGATAGAGAAATATATATTTCCTCAGGTCAAGATATAAGATTATTTCTTTAGATTTCAAATATGCCAAAGGACTAGCTTCCGGTCTGAAAGTATGTTTCTGCTTGAAAAGGACAAACTACATTCATTGCCTTCAGTCCTACCTATTAAGCTCGCCACAGTGGCTAAATAAATTTAACATTAACTGTAGACATACAATGGTGACACAAAAACGTAGCGGATGTACAGGCCAAGATACAAGAGTGTTACTTGAGATTGAAGATAGGTCAATATGAGCCAATAGAACCATCTGCCGGTTTGAAAGGATGTTACTACTTGGGCTGGACGAAGAACTCGCTTTCCATCCTACCTGTTACGCTCTACACAAAAGTGGCTAAATATTTGATACAACTATAGACATGCCATGTTAACACAAATAATGGATGTATGTCGACGTAGCAATTTACAGATATATATATATATATATATATATATATATATATATATATATATATATATATATATATATATATATATATATATATATATATATATATATATATATATATATATATATATAAAGAATACAAATCATATGGCGAATAACAACCCTCTCAAGCGTACTGGATCCACCAAGGGATCACGTTTGTCAGGGATTAATTAAAATAGATGCAATAAACTGACGACGAACAGTACGAAACTAGTAACTAACTAGCCTAAGCGCTTTCGACTCTTAATGAGTCTTTTTCAAAGGCAAATACAAAACATAGTTACGACAAACAAATAAACACAAAAACGTTGTGTTTGTAAACCTCTACATTTCTGTCTTCACATGTGCTAACACTATAAATACAACCAGCTTGTATAGACTAGTTGAGGAAACTGAAAACGTTGTATAATTCCCTAAAAGTCTACAAGCCAAAGCGACATCTATTTTTTCTTTTCATAGATCTGATTGGATGACAAAAAAGCTGTACAGAAGCCCGGTCGCTGAACACTTCTCCTCCCCTGGCCACACTTTCAGTGATATAATACTTATCGCTATTGCTAACAACCACAGCTGGAGTTCCGAAACCAGGAAGGAAAAGGAATCATACTGGATACACCGCCTTAGAACATTGAAACCAAGCGGTCTAAACCAAGAAGACTAGAAAATGAAAACTATGCCCTAGTAGAATTTATCATTTTCTAAATCTTCTTATTATCCTTCAATTTTTACTATAAGAATAACCGGTATAGAATCAAATATCCGGGATATAATCTGCGTTACATATGTACAAAAAGTAAAAATAGATGTCGCTTTGGCTTGTAGACTTTTAGGGAATTATACAACGTTTTCAGTTTCCGCAACTAGTGTATACAAGCTGGTTGTATTTATAGTGTTAGCACATGTGAAGACAGAAATGTAGAGGTTTACAAACACAACGTTTTTGTGTTTATTTGCCTTTGAAAAAGACTCATTAAGAGTCGAAAGCGCTTAGGCTAGTTAGTTACTAGTTTCGTACTGTTCGTCGTCAGTTTATTGCATCTATATATATATATATATATATATATATATATATATATATATATATATATATATATATATATATATATATATATATATATATATATATATATATATTAGAAGAAATTTTTTCCTTTGACAAATAGGAAATATGCAGTTAAACATTCGTCGTAAAAACATCAAAATACTGTTTAATTTTTTTCTTTTATATCTTTACTTGGTTTCGTTGCTTATGATCTCAGCACGCTTCTACTGTGTAACTCTTCTGACTGACAACAGAATTGCAATTTCAGTTGTTATACTATGTATGAATAAAGACCACAATAAATTTAGCCGTTTAAGAGATCGCTGTTTCGCCGCATAGAGTTACTTCTCTTATAACATCGGATCTGTTGCTGTCTGTCTGTCTGTCTGTCTCTCTCTCTCTCTGTATGTGTGTGTGTGTGTGTGTGTGTGTGTGTGTGTGTGTGTGTGTGTGTGTGTGTGTGTGTGTGTGTTGGACAGATCTTTTATGAATTGACACCAGAAGAGAACAGATTAGGGAGCAAAGAGAATGCCAAATATAAATTATTACAAGTAACCATTTAAAAGCATGGCTGGAACAGTTTTTTTAAAAAAAAATATTCAAGTTCAACTGATAGCTTATATACGGACGAATATTGACTTAAACTATCATGTTGACAAAAAACCCAACACAATTTGTGAGGTAAATAGTTTTAAGTGTTTTTTTTATGGATAAACGCTACTTTTACACACGAAAGGTTATGTATGGCAGGCAGCATATTTTGTGGAGGAAGATCCAAGGAATACCGGGGATGAAATACAGACCCACGGGTAGCTACTGGCAAATTTGGTAGTTTTTCTTACCCAAGCTGGCCCAGTAACACCTTAAACTTTATAGGACAGAAGTGGGATGTTAGTAATCTATAAAGACTAGCACATTTTCATTCCTTTTATTTAAAAGCTTTCAATACAAGTTACATGTCAAAAGTATACAGTCGACATGTCAATGGTATTTTGTGTAATAATATTACAAAATCTTAAATCTACAAAGTTATAGCCAATTTCTCCTGATATTTTTTATCAACTGATTATCTTTAACAAATTATTTTGCTATAAAGCCTTGTCTTTGCCTGTTTGTAATCATGAGAAACATATAATGTATATTTCATAATCAAATATCTAAAAAGTCTTTCTATGTTTACTTTTACCAAATAATGGACGTAAATCATTATCAATTTTACCATAATAGTTCAGTCTTTCATTTGTAACATTCCATTGTGCACAAATATGTAATTGGACCACTTGACTATCTGGATCCCTCAACTGGTAAAGTATAGGCGATGAAACAATGTACATGGTAAAATAGCATCCATAGTAAATGATGTCCTCTTTTTCTGTATTTATTTTCTCCAAAAGGGTCTGTTTTATTTCCCCCCCAGTAAAGGAATATAGTATGACAAGTTTGTACCACATTTAGAAATAATAATGGTACCTTATGTAATATCAGAAAGATGTACCTGGCACTTATTATATAAATAGAATGGTGTTCCAGACAATAATGGACGGTCTTTCGCACTTTCGTGAAAGGCAATGTTTTGTAACAATAGCGGACTACAGTATCCGTATAAAACCAAGTACATATAGCAGTGCTCGCTACAAACACAACTATTTTTATTAATATCATGCTTCGTTTTCGTTCCGCTTCCTACGCTTGCACGGGGGACAAATACTGTGCATCAAATCGACCGATTTCTTTGGTTCATGAACATCTTTTTTTGGTGAATTTGATTAAAATCATATCTCTGCTGTGCTACCTGAAGATCTTACGACGACCGCTTAAGGGTCGTGTTCAGGTGACCTTTGAATTAGCCAATGGAAATGCAGCTTTCAGAAATTTGAAATTTAATCTGATCGTACTGCACACATTGATACTCTGTGATGCTGACTGTAAGCTTCCAAAGTAAAGTTAGCACGACAATATAGGAAACAAAAATATAGATATCATACAAGTTCCATGATCTGAACATTGTTATAATCAGAATAAAAGATATAGTTTTTGTACTGTGGACTAGTGGTGTAGGTTTGTATTCAAAATATTTATCTAGTACAGTGCCGGATTCATAGATATGGACGAAGCAATGCTTTTGTTTTCTTTGGCTACTTGTTGTTAAGTGTTAGATTTGTAGTGACCCATATTTGAAAGGATTCTTAATCATACCACGTAATTTTCAGTATTACACAAAATGGATGATATTTACAAAAATATATTCAACAAGGATGTGTGAATAGTGTGAACTCTTAAATATAATATCAAAGTAATAAGTGTACCGGTAGCTACTAATAAGCAAAACACAAATCGGTGAAAGAAAAAGCAACATTTTCTTAGGTATATATGAAATATATACAAATTAATAAAAGCAAACAGGAGGGAAGTCTTACTGACTCTATCTACGTTATTCTCGAGCCTAATATAATCACGAAAAACGAAAGTAAAGCATGTTAAATAATACAAGAATTGCCAAATAAATATGTAGCCAGTGAGAACCTATCCTCTCAATGAATTACGAATATTTTAAAATTTATGATGAGT